ATTTCAGATAGCACAACAGTAGTACTAACAGATATAGATGTGATGGGTTCTATTTCAGATGGCACAACAGTAGTACTAACAGATATAGATGTGATGGGTTCTGCAATTTCAGATGGCATAACAGTAGTACTAACAGATATAGATGTGATGGGTTCTCCTATTTCACATGTCACAACAGTAGTACAAACAGATATAGATGTGATGGGTTCTCCTATTTCATATGGCACAACAGTAGTACTAACAGATATAGATGTGATGGGTTCTGCAATTTCAGATGGCATAACAGTAGTACTAACAGATATAGATGTGATGGGTTCTCCTATTTCAGATGGCACAACAGTAGTACTAACAGATATAGATGTGATGGGTTCTCCTATTTCACATGTTACAACAGTTATACTAACAGATATAGATGTGATGGGTTCTCCTATTTCAGATGGCACAACAGTAGTACTAACAGATATAGATGTGATGGGTTCTCCTATTTCAGGTGGCATAGTTACTAATGTTTGAGTTTGAAATTACTGAGTGAATGCATCTGCCTGTTCAGTTTCCATATATTTAATCTTGACATTGAGATAATTATTTTGTACTACACTAATGCTATTTTGTATTTTCTGTTGTTGTCATCTTCTATACTTCCCTGCTTACTTTGTTGGTGTTCTTTTCTCTTTCTTATTGATATCCTTTTAATTTTTCGACACCTTTTTCTTAATCGTCTTTCTGTTTCATCGTTTCAATTAAATATTCAATCTCGATTTGAGAACGTGTTCTTTTCTTGAAGTCCAGTCTGGAATCGGTTTTCTTTTTTACAAAAATAATCCTACTCCTTACACTAGTGTTGTAATAGTTTCTATTGTCGGGTCTATTTTTGAGATTACCTGCTAAAAAATAGATTACAAAAAACAGCCCTCTTTAATGATTACAAACTTTATTCATGTTTTTACTATAAGCTCTCGTGTATTCAAATGATGTTGAGTGATAAGCCTAACTTAACAGTAGACGCTAGTACAAGTTCACTATGCAATTCTCTCGTATATCTTTCTTTATCGAGACACAAACTCAATAATCATAGCATTGAAACAACAGACTATCGCAATTAAATCGTATCTAATTACTTCAGGATCCATGTAACTTAATTATAGGCTCAGTGATAAATAATAATTACTGTCTCTAGCCTAGTTCGCGTTTTACGAATCTTTTGAAAGAAATTTTCAGTTGTCACATCACGCGTTTATCACACGATGCTTAACCTCCCTCTGGGCAAACAACAATACAATGATCGAAGTTATATGAACAGAACCAACAATACACACATTTATATGATTGACATAAAGCTATATATATATATATATATATATATATATATATATATATATATTA